CGCGGCAGCAATGGTCGGTGACATTTCAGTGAACTCGACATTATCCAAGGTGCCGCAGCACTACAAGTCGCTGCTGGCTGTTCTTCCAATTTCGGGAAGGTGCCGTTGACGTTGGTGGGGATATCCGAAAGATTTTCCATCAAGTGTTGATTTGGCCACAGGATAGATGCGCCCGATTCCTGTGAGATGAGGGTAATGGAGCAGCGTGCTTCAAACTCCATGAATGCCCTGCAGTATCAGGATTCAGATCGTCGCGCGGTTAAATCTAGTATTGAATGTCACTATGTGGACGACTATGTGGATAGTTTTAATAGTGAAGGCGACGCCATCGCCATATCAACAAGAATAAGAGAAATACATATAAATTCTAAATTTGACTTGTGCCTGTGCATGTGTTGGAAGCCAGCCGCAGACGATTTCAAATTCAACATGAAGTACCACATAGTATCCTGATGTGTGCTTAATTTGGAGCGAGTTCCTACGAAAAGCAAATTCTTGAGCTTGATCATGTCAACATTTGATTCTTTTCTATTTTAGGTTCTCATGATAACTGGAAAGTTATTAATGCCGGAGATCTGGCGAAGAAATGTGCAATGGGATGAACCCCTACTAGATGAAATCGCCCGCGCCTTAAGTAAATGGCTTCCTGAAGCCAACGTGGAAGGATTGCTGAGCTCGCACCATTAATTTGGCCCAATACCTGTGCTGGCAATATAACTGCACGTTTTTGTCGACGCTAGCCAGTCAGCATTCACAGCTGTAACTTACTTGAGGGTCACCTATGACATCAACGAGATGCGAGAATACTTCATATGTGCCAAGACGATGTGCTCCCCAATGAAAACTATGTCAATTCCACGACTGGGATTGCAGGCAGCCGTGTTAGGATCGAGGCTAATGGACACTGTCAAAAGGAGCACAGTATGGCGATCAGTGACGCTATACTATACCTCAAAACAGTGCTGCGTTGGATAGGCACCACCCACCGTCGATATAAGCAGTTCTTGAAAAATCGAGTTGGGAGAAATTTTGGAGTCAACTAAGGTTTCCCAATGGAGATGGGTACCTACTCCTGAAAATGCAGCAGACGACGCAACGAGGCCGCATTGCCACGCAGACCTAGCCAACGGTCATTATTGAATAATGAATTTGTATTATATTTTTCAATTTGCTTGTCTGTAACATTCGTTTGTCATATGTGTCTAAAAATTTATTGTGAGACAATGGTGTTCATAATTATCTGGTATGTCTATCATGTATATTTTAAAGATTAAGAGTCCAGCTGTTTATTTGATAGGGTTGATATCTAGAAACTGGTTATTACTTCCTGGTAATATAATTGACATCATTAGTGCCAGAAAAATGAATGTTATAGGTCCTGATTTGGAATTTCATCCTCCAGTAAATATTTGTTCTTATTAAATTTCTTTTGTTTTTGATAATTTATTTTATATTGCTTAACTTTTCGACCTCTGTTAGTCTCTTTATAATGATCTTCGTCAATTTGTTCTATTTTCCAAGTGGGCTTGTAAGGGTATCCATGCATTATGGGGCTTTCCTAAACTTAGTATTTATTTCGAATTCATTTCGGATTTTATTAAGATTATTTAATATTGTCTCTTTCATGTATAAAATAACCCGAATTTCCGTGAGTATATGTTCGTCTTTATTGTCAGTATTTATAATACGTATTATTTTTATTAATTGTATAATAGCCACTTAAAAAATGTCACATTTTAAAATTTGACATATTGGTGTCCCACAGGTTGTCGGTAACATGTGAGTTTCAAAAGTACCTATCCTCACCATTGGTTCGGGTAAGAATTACCTCATGCATTTAATGATATGTGGAACACAAGCTAGATCCGTAGCGTTATCACGATATGTTGGGTATGTTGCTTTGGCACAATTGTAAGTTCTATTGTTCACGTTTCTTTTTCTAATAATGCTGGCAGCCGCGAAGCGATTTTTTGATCTCGACTACATTGCACTGAACGCTTCTATTGTTGAGAAACACTATTTCCTGTTGGTTGATTGGCCGAAGCTAATAAGCAGCCATATAAATAAATCAATTATTTTTAGTAAGCGCTCATGTAAGAGTTAGTTTTTAGGGCATATAACTTAGAGTTAGAGTTAGTATTTAACGATATAATTTTTACGCCAGGTACACGCCTATGGAAAATTGAAACCTATCCTTTTCCCTTGGTCTTCAAATCTTTTAAAATCATGTTAAAAATCAATGAAGCGGTAACCAAATGTTGGATTTTGCGAAATTTAAGAAACATATCGCAAACTAATTTTGACAAAGATATTTTAAAATGATTTTGAAGCCGATCGGATGGTAAGCAATAAGCTAATACAACCGTTTCTTCCAATTTACCACAGTTACGGACGGAATTTCTACTAAGTTCTTATGTATGTATTTGAAAATAATTTTGCAACAAATCAGGTTTTTGGATTTATCTAATGATCTCTGGATATGAATTTAAGCTTTATCCACCAAAACTTGACCCCATTCATACCAAGGAATAATAGATTATCCGTAAATTATAAAAACAACTTCAAAGATGCAGGAGTTGCAGGGAATGGAGTGTAAATTCTGTTTTCGTCCATATGCTATTTGCTCTAGTAGATATATTGGTTTCTTTAAAGGATATGGGTTACGCATGAGATATGCAGCCAGCATTATATATGCGGATCCCAAATATTTGGCTCAAGTCCATGTTCTTTCTTAAAAGCCAATCTTGTGAAGTTCGATAAATTAAGGATAATACGCCATGCTAAACTTGCCACTGGATGGTGATGAATATCGAAGCTACCACCGCAGCCAACTTCAGCAAGGCAATGCTAATACGCAGTCATCGCAGGTATACGGAAGCATTAACCAAATAAAACCTGTTGCGTTGACGTAGTGGACATACTGAATATATATCATATAATCACTAACCAAACAATTTCATATTACTCATGCCTTCAAAAGAGTAAAAATGTCAACGACTTTTGAAAAAATTAAATTTGTAGACATTTTTGCTTGTCGGACACATGCACACATTTAAACGATCCATAAGCATGAGAGAGCACTGAGAGTAAGTGCGAGCGAGATTAAATTAAACAGCGTTGCCGTTCTATCGCATAAGTCATATGGACAAGTGTAATCCTGTAAGTCATATGTATATCTGATTCCCTTGCTCGCGATTTTGGACCAGATGACACCGATATTTTTGTGCTCGATTTCCTCTATGTAATATCCAGTCTATACGTTGTTTGGTTAGTGGTAGAATGCCTGTAGCTCCAGCAGTTTAGATTCTTCTTTTTCTTTGTTTAGCATTTTTATTCCTTGGTTAACCGCTTTAATTACATGGTTGAGTTCGTTAATTTAAACACTGTTTTGAGCTACTGAGTTCTTTTTATCTTCGAGTTCTTCTTTATCATTGTTATCTAGAGTTCCAAATAAGTATTTTTATGTTGTTCCTACAACATTGGGTTATCCTCTTTTACTTTTTTATACTATTCGGTTACCGTTTATTTCTCTTTGCAACGTTTCTGTTAAATAATGAATTTGTATTCTGTCTTTTTACTTGTTTGTCTGTAACATTAGTTTGTCATATGAGTCTTCTGTGGTGCTCATAATTATCTGGTATGACTATCATGACTATTTTAAAAAGTAAGTATCCATTATTTTCTTTAATAGGGTTAATATCTATAAACTGGTTATTACTTCCTGGTAATATTGTTGACATAATTAATGCCAGAAAAAATAAAATTTATAAGTCATGTTTTAGAATTTCCTTCTTCAGTAAATATTTGCTCTTATTTAATTTCTTTTGTTTTGATAATTTGTTTAATAATGTTTAATTTTTCGACCTCTGTTAGTCTTTTCAAAATTATCTTCGTCAATTTGTTTTATTTTCTGAGTGGGTTTGAAATGGTTTTGTAATTTATCGTGAATTATAGGTGCTTTCCTAAACTTAGTATTCATTTTGAAGTCATTTCGGTTTTTATTAAGATTGTTTATTCTCCTGCAAGCAACAGGCACACAAGCGCATAAATGGTTCTATTCATATACAAAATATGCAAGTATTCGTGAATAGCGAGTCCAAAATATTTTAAATGCACACATGGCAACGCTTGGGTACCCTTACCAACAATAGCGAACTAAAATGCCAGAATTTCGCATCAACGTGGCAAACCCTTTCTCTATTTCATATTAGCCATGCCTTCAAAAGGGTAGAAATGCCTCAGCATTTGGGAAACATTGAATTTTTGCGCAATTTTGCTTGTCGGACACATACACACACACATTGAAACGATCCCTAAACATAAAGAAAGAGCATTGAGAGCTGTGAATAATTGCGAGCGAGATAAAAGTTAACAGCGTTGCCGTTCTATCGCACAAATCATATGGAAGAGAGTGCGCCAAGCACTTTCCTGTAGAGTGAGCGGTTCAAAAATACATCATATGTATATCTTACTCCATTACTCGCGAGTTTGGACCAGATGCCTCCGATACTTTTTTTGCCTATGTGATGTCCAGTCTATATGTTGTTTGGTTAGTGGTACTAGGTAGGGACTACAATCTGGTTAGGAACTACAATCGGGCAACTGGCTCTGCCGAACAATTCCTTGGGTAAGCATATCTTCAATTTGCTTTTCGACTTCTTATTCAAAGCGAACGGGTAACCGTATGGTTTTCTTATTTTTTCAGTCATTTTAATAGTTTTGTTTTTTTTTTTATAATTTAGATGATCAATTCGGTGATCTTGTCCCGATGATATTTTTATACTTATTGCGTAATTAACTTCTTGTGTATAACTTTTAGGTTTAAAATATGATTAAAAACCTGTTTCTGCACTTGAACTAATGTTTTATATTTAAACGATCTCTCGCTAATTTTTACACCGTCATCACTGTAGTCATCAATGGCGTTGTTTGCCTTTAATAAATTTCTGCCTAAAAGCATGCTATAGTGAGGGGAAAAATCATGTATGTAAAAGATTTGGTCTTGCTTAAAGAGTTTATTAGGTGCAGTGGATACATAATGATTTAGTTTTGTCATAGTTCTAATCAAAGTAGGTCTTGCATAAGCTGGTATATAATGAGACATCTGTATTGTTTATTATTAAATGTAATTTCTATCTACTGGCATGTCTCGAGGCTTCAATTAGAAAATTTCCGTCTTTAATTTCGTTATTTTGAACCTCCTCATGTTGGTTGTTCTGAAATCCATACTCTTCTTGTACGTAATTACCCTGATAGTTGTTTGATTGTTGATAATTGTTATCAATCATAATTTTTTGGGAACCACTAGTATTTTCTCGTATACGCTTGTACGATTGATTTGGTATATATCTACCCGGAGAAATATTTTGATTTATGGGGTTAATTATTTGTGTTTTAAATTCTGTTTGAATTTTGAGCTAGTTGCTTATTTTGGTTAAAATAGGTTTGCTTGTTCAGAGTATGTTGTGAAAAATTGTGGTTTTTGATTACTGTTAGTCATGTAATTTGGGGTAAATTGAGGTAAGGTATTTCGTGCAATATTGTTAGTATTTGGGTTTTTATTATGGTTATTATAATAATTTTCTTCATTTGTGCTCCTTGTCTTAATTTCGAAATAGTTGATAAGTCGTGTCTTGCGAGTGATATAAAATTGACTTTTAGAGAATATACAAATTATGTATGGTACATTAAGATAGACTGTACAAAATGTCATAAGGATCGGTTTATAAAAACCAAAGTTATGTGTAACTGCGCAATTTTATGGGGCAGCTAGCAAATACATTCATGCGCGCCTGCTTGGCATTCTAACAGCATGGTAATTACTTATTTTTTCTGCAATGCTATTTAAGGTTGTTTTTTACTCATAGGTACTTAATTATTCGTAGAGGCATAGCGAGTCGTGCGTTCTGTCGTGAGTTCGAGCCGTTCCGGGGAAACTATTATATTTTGTCTGGTGGACTAAAACCTCTTGCTGCTTATCCTACTCATATGATTTTCGATGCTGTTAGCATTATTTTAAGTCGGCTGCAGAAGGCATGCTATTATTATTTTTAAATTTGTAAACATACAGTACCATGCAACGCTGCTTATGAATAACAGTGGTTCAAAATTCTATCACTATTTATATATATGTTTATAATAAGATGACTTTACTTTTGCATTTTGCTTAATTATATATGTAAAATAAAAAAAAAAACAGGATATACATATATTGCGCCGAAAGGAAGACCCAAAGGTTACGGCCAGTGCCAGGGGAATCTGAAAACGAAAAGTTTAGTTTTGGTTCCACGAACTCCGTACATTTGTATATGCATATACATAAAAGAAATTTACTTACCTCGCTCTAGCACAACAACGATAGGCTAAGTGAAATTAAGGAATTTAGTAAATATATATTAATAATTATAAGAATCTTTACAACACACTATCCGGGATGTTTGGGGAACCAATTGCTCAATTTAATATTTATAAATTCATTCTTTAACGCTGTTATCGGCGGCAAATGGCCATAGCTTTCGATGACGTCTTTTCCTCTGGTGTTCTGCTGTAAATTAAAACTTGGAGATTAATGCCTATTGTCTATAATCTGAGAAGAACTGTTACCTTGTAAAAAATGAGAAATAGCAGATTGCAGATATCCTGCAAGGAAATAAAGAATAATATTAATTGTTAGTACCGATAAGAAATGCGACCAATTATATACCGTTTCCGGAGACAGAAATCTCTTGGTAACTGTTCATTGATGGGGAAAGGTGGCATGACAGCCGACATATGTTGATGCAGGCATTCTAGTGGCCGAAATGAAGGAGACAAGATCAGAAGATCGTCTCAAGTAGGTCGTGTACGCTAGGTACGAAACCGGGACCTGATCTGGAGAGGTAAGGAAGATAAAAAGTGTTTTTTTTTTTTGATAATTTAAAATGAACGTCTCACCTTGGTTCTTGCTGTTTGATGTTATCGATTTTGTGGTTTGTTTTGAACAGTGTTGTGTAGGTCTGATTTTCTACGGAAATTGTACCTTTGTTGATATCGATTATGCGGACTGCGGGATAGGACAGAGAACCGATGAGCCAGTCGGCGCGGCCCACCGAGAAACAAGCAGTTTTTTGAAGAAGCACCTAGTTTTCTTGAAGTCAGTGTGTAAATCAAAGAAGATAAATAAAAATATCTGTACAGGTACAGAAAAAAGTTGTTCCTTGGCTTTAGGATCCACACCACTGATGTCTTATGCAGAACGCGTTGGTGGCCCATTATAGCGCAGCGATATTTGTTTATTTATTTGTATATTTGTTTTTGTTTATTTGTTTTCATTGTCTCGTTCTGCGTTAATATTGTATGTATGCTGACCGTTGTTAGAAGAATTTCGAAAACAGGTTACCCAGGACGATTGTAGAATCGAGCCTGCGCTGCATCTGTCACTCTGCATAAATGGCCAGAACAGCGACAGAGACGGATTTTGCCATTGTGTCCATTAACATGGGGAGTTGTCTTGTCGCAGTTGATGGCAGTATGACACGTTCGCATGTTGCCTGGTGATAGCCGCCATGACAAAATAAATTGCGATAAATTGTGATATATCGTTATTAGAGCTTACATAAGGTTTACTATTTGTTTTGTCTAATTTTGAGTTTACGTTTGGTGTGTGCTGCCCGTAGTTATATAAATTTCGGAGCCAGGTGACCCAGGACGATATAGATTTGAACACCGGAGGACCAGGAACAGGACTGGGTTGCCGACGTTGACGGAATGTGGGATCACCACTGTCCCCATCGATTTTGGTAGGGGGTATAGTGAGAACGCCAATAAAATTTCGAGGGTTTGCTGAGCGGCAGATCCCGGCGGAGGGTCATCTGGTAGACTTAGAGAAGCAATTGGTGCAACAAAATATTCCTCCAAGGAATCTGGAGTTCCCAAAGAGCAACTAAGGTCTCCGTTCTTACGTCGGCAGCAAACGCGGCAATAGCTCAAGCTCACCAATGAGTCCATCCACGAGGAAGGGCGAATCGGTTTCATGCCACTAAAGCCACACAGACAAGGCGGGCGAGGAGCGGAGTACTCATCCAGCAGCCCAGTGTAAGTTGCATATGCTCAAGCGAGGAACTGGCATAATCCGAATAATCGCCATTTACGAGTCGAGAACCGGAGAGTGGATGAAATGTATGCCAAAGTACGAGAAACAGCGTACCTGAACCTCAAGCGGTGGAACGTCAAGTTCGATGGCGAGGTCGCAATGAATTCTGTCGAGGACTTTGTGTTTTGACTGGAGCTCCTGCAAAGGCAAAATCAATGTCCGTGGAAGGAAGTCCTGCGCTGTTTTGACCGACCGTGCCCGCGAGTGGTATTGGATGCACAAGCGGTATTCTAGGATTGACAGCTATATGTAACTGCGGCACGCTCTCTAAGACAGGTTCCGGGGATATCAGACGGAGCATGTTGTGATGCAGGAGCTACAGACCAGCCAACGAGTGGATGACCACATCCACCATCTACGTCAACTCGCCGAGCGATTCCACATTCCGCTGGGAGACCACGAAAGGAACCGCGTTCGGGGACGGCGACCGCGAAGAAGTAGGAGAAGAGCACCAAAGCCAATAGTAGTTGAAAAGGGGTTGAATAGAAACAGTAAGGATCAGGATACGAATAACGATACGGATAAGGATAAGACTATTAATAAGGATATGAACAAAGGAAGAACATAAACGGGCTTACCATATGGTGAAAGCTCGTGCGCGCTTCCGCACACGCAGGATGAAGAGACGTCAGGTCAGTGAAGCGGTGAGACGAGAGGATGGCATAGACCCACGGGTATTCGGCGGTGTGGAGATCGCCGGGATAAAATTGACTCCAGAAATGTATCTGCTGGGACGAGGATGCCTTGAGCTAGCGCAGCCATACGCATCGATCTAAGGACAGCGCCGGGTGCCAATCGTCCAATTTTAGGCAGCGTTGTTTTGCCTGTGCAATTCGGAAGTATGAAAGTAGTGATCTATTCTACATGTGTCCGTACCTGCGACAGGAACTTTACCTGGAAATCGAATTTTGGCGAGCCTTCGTGATTGCCTCCGAGTTGCTCGGCCCGGCCATTAGGCCCGAAGCGCCTCCAGAGGCATCTGAGGTAACGGTAGCGAGCCCAAAGATGGCTTTTAACCGAGACAACAGCCGGACGACGGTGGTGATGAAGCCTGGCAAGTACAGGGTTTGTTTAGACGCCAGGAAATTACCCGCTTACCCGCTTCCATGCATCGATGCATGGGCTTGTCGCGCATCGACGAGATGCATTTTATTTTAGCGAGGATGATCGCAAGTACCAGATTAACTATTTGGTGACCGAGAAAGAATGCCTAGCCGCTAAACTGGCCATACATCCATTCCGACTGTACATGGAGATGATGCCGTTCACGGTAATTACCGATCACGCGAGCCTGCAAAGGCTTATGAATTTATAAGACTGGGCGCGAAAACAAGTAGTCTCTAGAACTGTAAGCGTTCCCTTTTTCCGTGCTGTAACGCAAGGGAGTCAACACATTGTCTAGAAGCGTAGAAGAGGAGGATCTGTTGGCATATCATAACCTGGAGTTCGAGAGCACCGAGTACCAAGAGCTGGTAAAGGAGTTGATGAACAACGGAAAAGGTCTACTTTTCAAGAGGAATGTGCATGAGAGCATTAAAGACGAAGTCGAAAGCACGAGTTGAAAGCTCTGGGTGCGGTAGTCGCTGATCGCTGCAGATTTTATCCAACAAGCACACGCGGACAAGGCCTCAGCTCATAGAGGCATAAGGAAAACGCTGCACGTACGCGCCGGCGATTCTATTGACCCAACAAGGCTATGCAAGTCAGGGACTACGTGCGAAAATGCCACAGCTGGAGCAAGGAGACCAAGGCACAATACTACCGGATGCAGGTCGGAATTGAGGAAGTGCGCGTCACCGAAACGTGAGAGCGGAACGAAACGGAACGGTATTGAGCAGAAACTGTGAACAGTTAAAAGTGCTGTAAATAGAAATTCGAATAATTAGTAAACAGTTGGGGGTATCTTCTCTTGAATCTGGCAACGCTTTTTGGAGGCAGAGTTGGTTCAAGAAATTGTTCATGAATATACGGCAACGCCTCTTGGCGTTCAACAACGCTTCTCATCCTCATGGTAACGCCGCTTGACAAAAAATCGTCAGAAATCTTCGCTGGCATTTTATGGTAAATTACAGTATTTAACAGCGGAATTCTTGCGAGAATATGGCAAAATTTCTTGAACTTTATAAGAGCAGCACCTTTCAGTCATATATTCAGTTTGTTAATGGTTTGTTTCCTATATTTTATGTAGATTTGGATTGTCTGGTAAGGCATGCATATCTAGGCCCCAGGCAGAGGGAGTCAGCAGGTGTAAAGGACCAGTAGGGAGCACAGTTTGCAGAAAAGAATCAAGTTTAATTTGGACAATTGCTTGGAGGGCTTTGAAATCGCGGCAGGCTTTCGGCAAAAAGGGATGGAATGGAAAAAAATGAGGAAAAAGAAAACTTTGGCTCCGATTGGCTCCAAGTCTTGCCTAGTTTCGTCTAGGGACAAGCTCATCAAAAATAACAGAGCATGGAAATAGGTCAATAGCGGGGGTCACAAACTGGGGCTCTGCCTGGAAGAAGTCGCGCCCGACCTGGCCCGGCGATCGCGCGCGTCTCACCTTTCCGCCTTATCTTCAGGCTGACTCTCCTAGAATGCGTTTTTTTCACTTGATGTGATGTGCACAATTGAGCGCAATTTTTTTGTTGTGTTATCGATCTATCGAAAGCAACGCTTTTGATAATTAACTTTGACTTGGCAAGCCAACTGGGCGACTCACACGTGTCGCGAGCAACTGGTTTGCCGCGTTTTCCATTTCAATTTTCGTATTCTGCTCTTGTGCGCTAATTGGGCACAACACGTATAACGTTTTGCTCCATTTAAATTATTTGTTTGAATGATGAGAGGCCGGCGTTACGTCCCGTTACGTCTCGATGTCGGAAAAGCTCACCAGGCAGCAGCTTTCGAAAAAGCAACTGCGAAACTCGACTGCAAGCAAAGTACATATTAAACGATACACACAGCTGGTATTGGATGGCATATGTACATGGGAAAGTTAATGACATGTAATCAGAGGACAAACGCTGCCAGCTGCGATTTAAAAGTGGATAAAAAACTCATTTTAACAATTTTCGAATCAATTTTTGAGGTTATGGCATGGTGTAACTGTTTTGTGCTCCATTAACGGGACATCACGATTGAAGCTGCGCCCCGGATTCATGCATTAGAAATTTTTCGTCTCTCTCGCTCTGTTTCGCTTGACCGTGTTTGCCTGTTGTTTGAAGGAATTTTTGGCAACTTCTTTGCACTCTTCTCCCTCTCACGCTCTCTTTTATGTTATGCTTGAAGGAATTTTTAGGTATTTTAGGCAATTACTCTCTTTGCTCTCTTCTTTAATTTTCCTCTTATTCCTTTCTCGGCGCAAGATGGGCATCCGTATTAGCCGCCTGGGTCAAGCTATGAAATGCGCACGGAGATACTTTGTAGCGGTCGCGCTCACGTTTACTTTAATCTGCTTGGTGATGTTGCATTTGACATTATTGGCGACATCGATAGTTTGCTTAATTGGTTGCGTCCAATATTGTCGGCCCCGTAAATATCTTTTCACCTCATGGGCTGGGTATCGGGTATCGGATAAAATCGAGCGCACAGTAAGCCCCAATTAACTGGAGGGTGGCAACGCCCGAATTACGACCCACTGCCCTGAAGGGGTCATGATTGGGCAACCGATTCAGTCGTAGAGAAATTGGAAGGAGAGCGGATCGGATGCCCTTGCTAATGCCCTTGGCGTACAACTGGGCCGTTGACTCTAGAGTGTAGCTGTGCAGATGGGCAGCAATGGTGAACAACTCTTACATGTAAGGTACAGGGAGTTAAAATTTTTATAATAATTAAAAATTAACATTGTGTAATGCCCAAAAAAAAATGCAAATTAAATTTAAATTGTGCCGAAAAAAATTAAGAAATTAAATTCTGTACGGCGATACGAGTCCGTTCCAAGAGCGCTATGCCACCCCAGGCTAAAGGCAGGGACCAGAGAACACGAAGGGTAGTCCGACTCCGTGGCCCGGCTAAGTTACTGCAAAGCAAAAAAGAAAAAAAATATCATATAATTAAGATAAATTTACTTTTTCATTTTTCCGAATAGAGGATGCCATTAACCCTCTTATTTCAACACCAGGTGCAACTCGCTCTACGTGCTCGTCTGGAGTAAAAAGGGTAAATTTAAAAAAAGTAGGTAGTGTTAAAACTTGAAACTAACCGCATTACTTGCCGCCGTCTCTACGCAACAGCCACACCAGACAAAAAACATAGTTTCGCTAGGGCTCGAACTTGCGACAGACCACACCACTGCCTCTACTGAACTGACATTTATGCGCGACTGCTTCGACTTCGATTGCATTGTTTTCTGTGCTGCACTTTTAATCCGTTATTTTCTTAATAAGACTCAATTATTGGTGTGGCAGCTGATAAAAGTCAGAGACAAGTGGCGCGGTATGTCGCGAGTTCAAGCCCTACTAAGGAAACTATTTCAGTTGCGAGCTCGAACTCAGCCAAAGGTTATGAAAACGATAATAACAATTACCAATTTAAAATGTGTTAATGGTATAACAATCCATTTTTGAAGTAGGCAGTTTCTTCAAGGTCAATAATTTTTTTTTTTTTTTGTGGGAGACTTAAGTATTTTCCAGATTCATGTATGTAATTGATTCTGCGGAAATGTACTATTTTGTACACTTATTTATTAGTTTTCTCGTTGAATATCCACCCAAGTGAAAAGAAATTAAGAGTTAATGCTTGTTCAATCGAATTAAACCCATAAAATAGAAAACAAAAAGTCCAAAACAAAGTAAACGCAATGAGAATATGTGTATTATTAAAATTTAGCCGCAGCAATCCGAGAGAAAGATCTTTCATCGATGGCAACAAAACAAAATCAATGGTCTCAAATAGCTTTGAAAATGATTTTGAAACTGAGCGGCCAGTAAACAAACTACTCTCATACAAACCTTTTCCGTCATTTTACGACTGTTTCGAGTGGAATTTCCCAAATCGCCGAAACACGTTTTCATTATATTCTTATTTAGAGATTTTAAAATATGTTTGATGCAAATCGGACACAGCTTAAAATTCTCAAAAAATAACTTGAAAATGCACTCTCCACCGAAATGAAATCTCTGATGAGTTTTTATACAGATGCAAACGAATTTGAAGGCAAAAGGCCACCCACCAAATCTTTGACTCCCATTTTGACCAAGGAGGAATGTATTTTTCGAAAAGTGTGATACCAACGTTTTTCGCTAAATAACCACTGAGTTTTTGAAATTGCTGAAAAAAAAATAAGTTTGAAGCAAATCGGACACCACTTAAAACTTCGCCCAAAAAACCTTTGAATCGCATTTCTACCGAAAAAGTTTAGATTTTGCATAAAATGTGAAACACGTCTTAAATGATTTTTCGTATAGAGCTTTGAAACTGAATTTGAGCGCGAAACGTCACGCACTAAATCACTCACCCCCATTTTCACCAAGGAGATACACATTTTTAAAAATGTATGAAACACCCCTCAAATGAATTTAAACAAAGAACTTTGAAATTGAGTTTGAGCCAATCGAATGGTAAACAAAAAAGTTTTATACAAACGTCTTAACGTGCACCTTCATCATATAAGGTAACTACAGTGAAAATTTCAGCTTTCTAGCTCTTACGGTTTGGGCTGTGCGTTGATCACCAATCAGTCAGTCAGTGTATCTTTTAAATTTCCTATCTTATAAATTCTTAGATATGAATAATAATGTTAAGAAATAAAATATTTATAATGAATCCTAAATAATCTACCGTTTTAATCCGGAAATCATGACCGATTTATTTAACGACCAGAAAATGAAGAAATGAAATGACGAGTGACCTTGCTCATCAAATTGAACTAAAAATCCCCGCTCTACATTCTAGCTAGTATCATAATCGTTGATGCAGTTGGCACATCAACAGCAACTCTTCGACTTTTTTGAAGCTGATATGTATGATATTTCACACATTCATAACTAAAAATTTTAACCATTTTCCTACATTTTTCGAGTTTGCAGTTTTTTTTAAATCCTAAACAAGCGATTAAAAATTGAATATTATACATATAACGGCAAATTGCGCTAGGTACAAAAACATGTTCTCTTTCGTTATTGTCAGTTTTCAAATTTATTTTTTTTCTTAAGCCGCAGTAGTATATATATAATAATTATAATATAAAATATTAATAAACGAGAAGGAAGAACTTTCTTCATACAACTTAATTTTCGACCCATCGCTCCAATGGTGTAGTAATATGATGTAATAGGATTTAGCTTATACACATGGTAAAACCAAAGACAATATAAACACTAAGATGAGTAACGCCCATACATTTGAATGCGACGCAAAATTTCTAGCCTGGCTTTTCATCTGGCCTTTAAGGCTTCGTGCGGCATGCCTGCCGACTGGTTGTTCGTTCTCCAAAGGCCAGACGAACGAATGCCGAAGTCACGGCTTGCTAATGCTGACACGAGCTACGAAGTTAGTCGCCAGCCTGCCTTCAGCAAAGGTGGTCGATGCTGCTTTGCGTCGCTTCGTTTTCGAAGTACATTGGGCGAAAAAGTTTAGAACTTACCATCGACGCAAAGTGCTTGTGCTTTGTCCATGAAATGCATGCTTTATTTAAATGATATATTACCCTAGATATTAACAAATACTTTTACAGGAAAATTTAAGAACTTTTATAATTTTTACACAAGGCGCTTCTTGCGCAATAACTATGTTAAGAAAATAGCACACATAGATTGATTTCACTTTTCTTTTTGGACAGTGTATGCTCGAAAAAGTTCTTGTCTCAGCCAATAGACTGGACATGAGTACCGGAAAGTAGTCACAAAATGTATCAGAGGCATCTCGCCCAAACTCGCGAGTAAGGGAGTAAGATATACATATGATGTATTTTTGGACCGGTTACTCTACAGGAAAGTGCTTGGCGCACTCTCTTCCATATGATTTGTGCGATAGAACGGCAACGCTGTTAACTTTTATCTCGCTCGCACTTACTCTCAGCTCTCAATGCTCTCTCTATGTTTAGGGATCGTTTCAATCTGTGTTTCGCATCGACGTGGCAAACCCTTTCTCTATTTCATATTAGCCGTGCCTTCAAAAGGGTAGAAATACCTCAGCATTTGAGAATAATTGAATTTGTGCGCAGTTTTGCTTGTCCTAAACATAGAGAGAGCATTGAGAGTTGAGAGTAAGTGCGAGCGAGATAAAAGTTAACAGCGTTGCCGCTCTATCGCACAAATCATATGGAAGAGAGTGCGCCAAGCACTTTCCTGTAGAGTAAGCGGTTCAAAAATACATCATATGTATATCTTACTCCCTTACTCGCGATTTTGGACCAGATGCTTCCGATACTTTTTGTGACAGCGCTGTTTGTATGTGATGTCCAGTCTATGTTGTTTGGTTAGTGGTCATATTTAGTTATGACCCCATTATAATTATAATGGCCTCCCCGCGGTGTTCCCTGCGTACTTTGTTCTTTATAATTCGAACAAAAAATAATAAAATAAAAAAAATAAAAATTAATTAAATGTATCTTTGAAAACAACAAATTTTCACTTTTATTCCTTAATTTATTTTGTATTACCTAAAAATAATAATAATGTAATTAATAATTTCAAATATAAAAAATTACATAAATATTTGCATCGACTTAAAAATACAAATTATTTGTACGGAGCCAACATTCATATATCAACTGAGAAAAACTAAGAAAATTGTTTCTTTGCCAGCCAGAGCAGTGGATAACAACACATTCAAATATGCTGTTATGTATGTATATTCACACGCATACAAACATAATTGATTGCACGGCCCTCATGGAGCCGAAGCTGAGGGCAAATTCTATTTTTAGCTTTTGCGTTCTCTCGGCTGTGAGAGCGCAATGCTACAGATTTCGTTTTCGTTCACAATTTTCAAAAAATCAAGCTGCATAGTAGCATTTTGTTGTATGGCGTTACTTATCTTAGTGTTTATATTGTCTTTGGTAAAACTAATAAATTAATTTGAAGGGTCGAGTAATATGAAAGGGTTTGGGCGAGCACAAATCATATGGAAGAGAGTAATCCAACGCATTTTCCTGTAGTGTAAGCGAATAAAAAGACGTCATGTGTATATCTTCCTCTCTTGCTCCCGATTTAAGACCAGTAGTGGCCAATTTTGGTGTGTCCACTCTGGTTGCTCCACTTTTAGGCTTCAACATTTAATAATTTTTTGTTTTTATTTGCAAATACAACGTGCTAAATCGAAAGAATATAGAGAAAATAGAATTATATTTCATTAAATATTATTACTAACCAAACACCATGTTGTTTGGTTAGTAATATTATTGAGCATAGCTTATGCATTATGCATTTAAGGTTTTCTGCTTTGATTTAAACAGCCACATTGTTTTCTTTTATTTCACAAAATATAGCTATCTATTAAATGCACTTAACATGAACATTTTATGAAAATTTGAAACAAGTTAATTTTGGTAAAACGAAGATTAAATACATTCCAAAAAGCAGGCTTCTTACCTGTGGAAGTTATACTATGTGTACTCTTGTAAAAGGTATAACAAATTTGAAAAGAATTTACTAAAAATATTAAATACAGCAGCTGAGTCGATACAGGTACGTATTTCCGTTTGTCGATCTGTTAGTAGTGTGTATTTGCTTCGAAATTATCTCGATTTGATAAATTAGTGTACAATATAGTACATTTCCGCAGGATCAATTATATAGATGAATCTGGAAAAATACCTAAGTGTTAGCGTCTGAAAGATCCCGCAAAAAAAAACAAACATGCATTGTTATACCTAAGACAATATAAACACTAAGATAAGTAACGCCCATACATTTGAATGCGACGCAAAATTTCTAGCCTGGCCTTTCATCTGGCCTTTGAGGCTTTGTACGGCATGCCTGCCGACTGGTTGTTCGTTCTCCAAAGACCAGACGAACGAATGCCGAAGTCACGGCTTGCTAATGCTGACACGAGCTACGAAGTTAGTCGCCAGCCTGC